TACCCCGCCGTAATATTGCTGGAATAATTGCTAAAAGCGGCGTAAAACCCAACTCACTCACTCACTCACTATCATATACGTCAGGCAGCAACTGCCTGAAGCGGACACTGAAATCATCAATCAAAGAGCAGATAACTCTTGTTTTCTGAACTGACTTTATTGATCACAGATTTCATCTTGTTTCCATTTGAAATCTTTACATGAATCCTGTACAATATTTTAAAATATTGCAAAGAAAACAGGCGTCAGATTTTCATCTTGCCTAAGTCCTGATTAACATGAATGTTTTGCTATTGCAGGAAACAAAATCATGATTTAACATTCTGGTACATAATAGAATAGAGCTCAGGTCACAAAACAGTTGAAGTTAAGCAACGTTGGGTGCGGAGAGTCCTTGGATGGGTGACCGTGTTTGGCAGTTTGTCTCCTGAGAGTTTCCGCCATATAGCTGGAATATTGCTGAGTGCGGCGTAAAACTGAACTCACTCACTCACTATCCGTTGTATCAGACATCAGAGAGGATTTTCACAGGGATCAACATTCCACGCTCATATCCATTCAGCATGTTTTAATGTGTGTCTATGTTTATTTACATTACAGATTGTGTTTATGTAATGTGTTATCTATGTGTGGGGTGTGGAACATACAAGCTGGTTAGAGTGATCTAATGAAGTAATCTTCCTCTTTAATCCCTTTTCGGATGTGCTATTGACAGTGAAAGCTTTTGGGTGAGAATTTGAGGTTATAATGGTCAAGATCAAAGCACACGTAACTAGGTACAGGCACGTGCGTGTGAACCAATTTGCACTTGTGTCTGATAACTGATTTAATGTGTTAGTCGACTAAGATATCAGTTTTATTTTTCTTATGCATAGATAAGACGAAATGTAGGTGTCCTGCGACGAAGTGGGTTAAATGTGGGGCTCAAGATCTTGGTGTTGTGTTGTGGTGTGGTGCGTAGCATAGCGTAGTCCTGCATAGCGTGGCGTGGCGTGGCGTGGCGTGGCGTGGCGTGGCGTGGCGTGGCGTGGCGTGGCGTGGCGTGGCGTGGCTTGGTCATGATGACTATAGTCTGTTTGCAGTGAAAACGTACCGATGAATTTTACTCTAAATAAAAAAGTAAATCGATTAAAGCGAAATTAAGATTGCGAATCCTCATAATTTTACCTTGCCAATTGAACATTCAAATCTCAGAATGTTATTCAACTTAGGATAAAAGTTGTTTAACAAACGATCATAGTTTCAAATCGTTATTATCGGTTTGTATTACAAGGGCGTATGCACATTAGATGAAACACCGAGAACAAGTAGAGTTGGTCTAAGTTAACGCTCATCGCGTACCGCACGTGCCTTTGTTTCACTGTTCCATCTACTGCGCTTACCCCCTTGTAATACAAACCAATAATAGGTGAGGTGAGGTGAAATTGAGTTTAACGTCGTGCTTGAGAATATTTCGCTCATATGACGACGTGCATGCGTGTGTATGTGTATGTGCGGCTGCTTGTACTAGCTCAGACTGAAGCTGGTTTTATAGTGCTAGCCCACTGAGATACCATGCCGCAGTGAAGCATGAATACCCCACTCAGACACATTATACTGACTCCGAGCCGACCAGTCCTTGTTGTACCCATTAATGCCGAACGCCAGGCAGGGACCAACAAGTACCATATTTTAACGTCTTTTGGTATGGCGCGGTCGGGGATCGAATCCGCGACCTTCCGCTCTCCGGGCGGATGCTCTAACCACTACACCACGGAGGCGGTCAACCAATAATAGCGATTTGAATCTATGATCGCTTGTTAAACAACTTTATCCTAAGTTGAATATAATTTTGAGATTTAAATGTTCATTTGGCAAGGTAAAATCATGAGGATTCGCAATCTTAATTTCACTTAATTTGATTTACTTTTTTGTTTAAAGTGAAATTCATCGGTACGTTTTCACTGCAAACAGACTATAGTAAGTAAGTATCTGTGTTCGTTGTGTTAGCGGGTACAAGACAGACCAGTGGTCGATAGCGGCAGCACCTCTTTATCTTGTCGGCGTCGCGATAGAGTCCGCAGTCTCAACTTCCTGGGACCATGACCACCTCAGAAATATTTCCATTATTAACGTAAAGATTTAAGGAGTACGGTGACATCACAATGATCCCTTCGGTCTCTTCGTACGACAAATACATTCTCTGTAGAGCTGATATAGGATTTTAGAGCCTACCATGGGGTCACTAATAACATGCTTGATTGAATCAAAATAATCTAATTCATGGTTTCTTAACCATACCATTTCCCCTCTATTGGTCTTCAGTAACCCATGCTTGTCGTAAGAGGCGACTAACGGGATCGGATGGTCAGGCTCGCTGATTTGATTATTTACAGACCGCCGCCATATAGCTGGAATATTGCTGAGTGTGGCGTAAAACTAAACTCACCCCTCACACTTAATTATTGGTTATATGGTCCGTTATCGGCTATAAATTCAGTTTTCACTTGTCCGTTCATTTAACAGTTTTGATGGACTGTTATTACTGTTGTTAGCTTTCCTGTCTGTTGTCAGCTGTTGTTAGTATCCCGGGATGTTGCTGAATATTGCTGAAACTAAACTCACTCACTCATTCTGCGCAGCCCTCTTGATGATACAAAAACCATACATGAAGCAAGTCTAGATTGTCCTCCGGTTTAGGGAATCTCACACCTTACTGGTGTTTCTTACCAATTTAAGCTCAGTGATTTATTTCGATTAAAACATACTTTTGTTTGTGAAGCCATTAAGTGCATCTGTGACCAACTCGTGTTAATCCGGCACAGGCCGAACTTGAGGTTACGGAAAGGGACGAGTTTTGAAGAGTGCAGGAAATGCTGACGGATCAAAGATCATGAGCGGCAAAAGGCGACTCGTGTCATCTAAGGGACGCAACTCTTCACCCTCTCTCTCAAACCAACAGACGGGTATGTCTACTGAATAATGGAGGTCACTGAGTAAACTTTCCAGTCGGATAGTGACGTAAAATACCAGCTAGAGTATATTCGAAGATCAGTGATAACAATGATGACACACAAAGTCGGGTATGTTGGTTACACAGTACCTTTAAAGGATTCCATTTATAAATCAACATGGATTGCGTGTATGTCAAACTTGAGCTGCTTGGTTTTATCCGATACATGCGTTCAATTATGTCACTCAACAATTATGCCTACATGTATATTGTACCCACATTTACCTTCATTGGAATACAAGGTCAAAGTTAATAGTTTATCCTGGAATAAGCGCTCAGAAAAGAAACGTGATTGTATCAGTTGTATCTGCTGAAGTCTTCACAATGCTTCCCTTTCATGATATTTCACTGAGTGCAATATTACGGTGTTATCTGATCTTATTTGCAATATCACATTGTAGGCGAAAATGAAGTATACACTTGCGGAATGGTTGTGACTGTAAAATTAGATAAAGAGTCGCTGAAACACTTAACACTTAAGGTCCGAAATATATTTTGACACCTGTCACACGTTTTGGTTTGATTCAGTTGTAGTTTAACGCCGCACTCAGCATAATCCGGCTGTATGTAAATAATCAAGTCTGGACCAGATAAACCAGCGATCAAAATCACAAGCATCGAACTACGTCATTGTCAACTAAGTGAGCGAGCCTGACCACCCGACCTGTTAGTCGCCTTTTACGACAAGCATGGGTTGCTGAAGACCAATTCTAAAACAGATTTTCACAGGTACATGAACTATTTACAAAATATGTACCATCGATCACTATCTGGTCCTTTTTTCAATTATTTAAATATAAACCAGGTGTGTATACTTTTTATGTCTTGCAGTTATATAGTCATACGATGACAATAAACACCACCATCCATGTTAATGATCACCATACACCCGCGGCTTCTTGAAATGAAGGAAACAGATGTCAACAAACAATACAATTTTAATTACAACTATTCACATTGATTTTACTGCAATGTTATGCAGATGTCATTTTCATAACCATAAACATGTTACACACAGCAGCTGATTGGAAGAATCTATGTGCAATAGAAAGTTTTGTACCGTCGGCAATGATTTCCAAGGTGAGGTGTGCACCCCCTGCTAGCACGTGTATGTCATGTCGACCACGGGTTAAAACAAAACACGTTACGTGCACGGTGTCGGAGAACGTCATTCCCTGCTCCTCTGTACCCCTATCAATTACAGTCTAGTATATGATTGACCAACATGTACATACAAACAATAAAAAATAATCTTCTTCATCTATTCGCTTTACCAGTGTCCTCATTCAAATGGACGATTTGTCCATTTCGAGAAAGTCAGCGAGCAGTTAATGTATGTGTAAATAATCATCCATTTCTTGTCAGGATCGCGTAATGTGTCAATCGCGTATTGTGTTGAGTTCTGTTGTATATTTAAACTTGTTTATAAAAATGATTTGATCAAAATGGCATACTACTCTGTTGGAATGTACGCACTTTTCAAATTGCTATTGGTATGGGACCGCATAAAGAATATTGTTGATGTGAGAAACGATTTTGAAGACATCAATATATTAATGGTTCATGCCAATGGAGAACTTGTGAAATATATTAAAGTTCTTCGTATCTCGAAATTCCTGTTCTCATTGATTCCAGTAATATTTTGAATTCATACAAAACAATATGGCATAGTTGACACCCACGTGTGTGGAGACAAATGCCACTCGTTCCCAGAGAAATCAGAGAAATGTGTTTAATTGTCAAAAAATCGTTCCTAAACTAAGACTATATGGAATAAACCATACGTGCTCTTGTAGGGATGTTCACCCCAGAACCCCAGCCCCACCCCCAACCCCACCCACCCACTCCCAAAACATAAATAAATAAATAAATACAATAGTACACAGAGCAGGTGACGAATATCGTTACAGTTATCCAGATAATTGTTCTTTAGGTTGCATGAACGGCAACCAGTCACAACGGTGACGTCGTCATTGTTTGTCAACACGACAGACTATGACGTCACAGGTCACCATTCCGGCGTGCTGGGTCTATACGTGCGAACATGTCTGGCCCCAGCCGGAAGTGGCCGATGTGTTTTTACATAGAAAGCCTGACCATTATGATATCTCCTCCGGGTTCCAATATAATCCGCCATTGTGAGGTCGGGATGAGGCTCGGACATTCGCTTCTCTAGCAACCGCTGAGATATGAACCTCTTGTCCTCTCCAATGGGAACCAGAGCAGTCTTTATCGCATGTTTCTCATTCTTCTCGTGAGTGAGTATCTGCTCAAGTCTCTCACAGTGGTCCTGGATGCTATTGGTGTTGTGAATGATGCTTGGTTTGATGCTGAGTTCCACCCTCATGTCCTGCTCCACTATGTCCCGATGGTACCGGAGCGTCCCCAGCATCCGTTCAGTCATGTAACGCTGTAGCTTATTGGACTCGTATCTCACCTTCAGTTCATTGTATTGCCGTTTGCTCTTGGTCTGAGCGGTATCCATGGCCCTACCGGTCATCCTGTCTCTTTCCTTCCGCAGACCTTCCAGCTTGTTTTGGAGTTTCCCTATCCTGTCGTCCAACTCGAACATGGTCAGACTCAAATCAGTGGACCTGTCTTCCCTCTTTAGGAGATTCTGCAGCTCTATCATCTCCTTTTCCAGTTCCGCCTCGTTCCGCAGAATTTCCTCATCGAGAAACGACACTCGCTGATTCAGCTTCTTTTCCAGTTCGAGAATCTTCTCCAGCTTTTTGTTCAAATCTTTTGTTCTCATGCCATCCAACTGGAGCCACCGTCTGGCCAGTCGGGCTGACTTCTGAAGCTTGGCCAAAATGTCTGGGACAAACCTAATCAAGTTCACGGTGGCACTGTCTAGTGTCAGGTGATACACATATGTTTCGCTTTCGTGGCTGTAAAGTTCACTGTCCACGGAATCTTCGTTATCCAGTAGAAAGTCCATTTGTTCTTTCACTAAAGAAAGACTCTTCGCCACCTTGTCGACCTCAGTTGTGTCGTACAGAGCTTTTATGTCCGTGAATTCATTGCTCAGCATCATCAGAGCCGTTTTCGCTTGAGCTCTTTGTCGAGCTGTGGCAACGCTTTCGTCACGATCATCGTCCAAGTTCTCACCACTGTCGCCACTGTCTGAGGAAAACTGACTAAACTTCGAAAAAGACAATGTCGACGACGAGCCCCTCCTTGTGTCACCACCGCCATCGGAACCTTCATAGAAGTATTTAAACAGTGGCTGGAATATCCTGTCTGTGAAATTAACCTTTAGGTCACGAAGGTAGTCCACATATTCGAAAAACCACATGAAATACTTCACACAATTATCATCAATATTGGATTTGGTTTTTCGAATTCGAGCTTCGCGATTGCGAGTAGCTGTGTTCCTATTGGCTTCCTGGATCATTGCATTGTGCAGCTTATCCAATGAGCTTATGACACGTGGCGGATCGGTGCGACCTCTCAGAATGCGTATCATATTCACTAGTGTGTCGATGTTAAAGTTTTTGAAACTCATATTCACTTTCTCCTCGAATGCTTCGACTTGTTCGGTCATCACTTGACCTCTGTATTTGTCCTCCAGCAGCAGCAGGCGCAGCTGAAACAGTCGAACGGCCCATTTAACTCCAAATCTCTCGAAGCTAATGCACAACATACATTTTATCAAAGACATGTTCAGGAATGATGGTAAAAGGAAACTTTCGATTCGAGATATTTTAACTGAAGCGGGTCTTAAATACATATACACACGTCTTTTGATTCGGAGGTGTGATCACATGTATATTGTGAACAAAATGCTGGAAATAGTCACAAAAATAATTCCGTTATTATCCCTTTGTTAGCTAATATGCTATATGTTTGCACCCATTTCGTTGTAAGAAATATGTCATAAAGACTTCGCACTGATGTTGTTAAATTACTATACCACCCATCAAAAGTTTAGACTCACTTAAAGCACTCACTATATGTTATGTATATATATGTTGTTACATCGAAGATGAATTTCTCCACTAACTTAGGGGAACCATCTGCAAACCTTATGCAGATGAATTGCATGAGGATCATGCATCAAATTGCTAAAAAAGCATGTGCAAATATCGTGCACGTGAACAGCTGCGTTTTGGTGTAAAGTTTTGTTAAGAGTTTCATCAATTATTCAGCCTGTTCAACGTTACGAATTTGTTTCACAATACATCAGTTCATGTGTAAACAATCCCTAAACAGTATGGAATATTTTGCAAAATCTAGTTTAGAACAGTTGACTGTAGTAACTGGCTACATTTACACTAGTGAGTCTAAACTTTTGATAGGTAGTATATATGCGGAAACACTTTCTTTTACAACACCTTATAATAATACAATGGCTAAACTTATTTTGTGTTTGTTGTGTGTGTATTTTTAACGCCGTATTCCTTCAATATTATGACGACAGTATGTAAATACTGAACATAAATAGGCTGCACCAGATAATCCTGTGACTGGCATCATAGGCAATGATGTATTGAGATACGATGACAGGAATCAACAACGTTAGCGGGCCTAACTACGTTTATTCCTCTCATACGACAAGCACAGGTCGCTTGTGACGGGTAGTCGTACCCGAAATCCGAACGGTGTAGGGGCGGTAGGGTAGCCCAGTGGTTACAGCGTTTGCTAGTCACGCCGAAGTCCCGAGTTCAATTTTCTAAATGGGTAAATATGTCAAACCCATTTCTGGTACCCGAACATTTCTAAAAGCGGCGTAAGACCATACTCACTTACACTGTTGTGTGCGACACGGCAATATAGAGGTTTCTACCTTAAAAATATATATATATAAAAGAAAATGTGCGAAAGTTACCTGGAGTTTCTCAGCTTGCAGAGCACGACCCATCTTTATGGACCTGAAACAAATATATAACAGTATTTGAATGTGTTCGACGTAAACATCAAGGCAAGAGACAATCAGAAACAACGCTATATACAATTCGCCCCTTGTAAGTATATGCCTCATATATGACGTCACTTTGTAGGGGTGCGATGACGAGGGTATGGAGGCCATCAGCGTGGTCTAGCGGACAGAGTGTTTACCCGGAGGGCGGAAGGTCGGTGGGTTGATCCATGCCGTCTCATAGCATCAGACAGACGGGACTTGTTAGCCTGCCTGGTGCTCGGCATTAACAGTTAAAACCAAGGACTGGTCACTCCGGAATCTGTATACTATGTCTGATGTGAAAATGGGCATGACAGTGGGCAAGCACAATACAACCGGTTTAATCGATAAATATTCAACACACAGGTACATGCACGCATCTATAATACTGAACGCGAGAACAAACCCCATACAAATCCACCTCATCTCCCCTGGTACAATGATCTATTGTCGCAATATGCCAGCCTACAAAGCACAATTTCACCCCCATGAACCAGATGAGTTGCTGTACGCCTGAATGAGAGGTCTGCAATGCTATTCTGTGGAAGGAATACAAAAGAATGTTATCAGTCTGATATCCAGACGTATTGTTGCAGGGAGAAATTCCCACCAATTGTCCGCGTTATTATATCCTCAGTTCGGGGATTTAGTCCCTCTCGGTATCGGGTCTTCGTTGTTGTTGGCAGTGGAACACATTGGCAATATGTCACACAAAGGCTATGGGGATTATTCTATCCTCAACAAAATAGATTTTATGAAGGCTGTACATAAAATGCTTCTTCACTTGGGCAAATAATCGCATGCTGTCATATACATATACATTATACATATACATATATTCAACCGTGCCAATATTTCAAAGGCGATTCCATCCTGAGTTGTTGCACCCATCCACATCTAACCTACACTAACTCTAAATGCCCTAGCCTTAATACCCACAGATAATTCACCACCAAACTATATGACCAGCCTCAGTGCCACAATCATTCGAGAAGCTTTGTATAGGGATATAACAACCCCATGCTTGTAGTAAGTGGCGACGGACGAGATCGGGTGGTCCGGCTATCTTACTTGGTTTGCACATGAGTAATTGCGTAGGTCGATGTTCATGTTGTTGATCACTGGATTGCCTGGTCCAGAATCTATTATGTTCAGAAAACCACCATAAATCCGTAATGTTGCTGTGTTAAACGACATATAAACAAAACAAACAAAGCTTAAAGTTCGAAAGAAATTCCTGTAAACTGGAAGTCCTAACAACCTTGATTCAAATAAATTAAACTGTTACAAGTTTAAGGTGTCTTTCTTTGTCTACTTCTGTACGGTTTATGCTAATACCCGAGATAATGCGTCATTTGTCCACATGTAACTAATTAAGACGTCCTTATCCTAGACTCGGGGTCTCAGAGCGTAATACCCTTTAACAACTGATCCATTCGTTATCACAGCCTTGCCTAATCCTACTTTTAAATCACCACAACTTGGAGTTCAGAGTTAGCATTCACAGTGCGGAGTCAGTATTCACATCTTTCAGTCCTAGACAGTATGGGACCAATAAAATCCTACTTACTTACACCGTATGGGGACAACAGGCATGACATGATCACATGATGTTTACATGACTGACGCGTGTAACAGTAAACAGGCTTTCATTGAAAATTGGATAACAGTAAATGTCCCCCACTGACGTATATTCAGTGGCTCTGCAACAAGCTGACAGCGGACTTTAATCGTTTTATTTTGATGTGTACCCGAGATTTATTACTTTCGCCTGTATAGGTGAACAGCGTTCTTTATTACGAAACTAAATATAGATGATTCTTAAATCGATCTTGTTATGTTCAATGAGCACGTCTGTGACTACAAAAATAATTTATTTTCCTGGTAGTTTGGGGTCATAAACAAGACATTAGCCAAATGATTTGTTATTCCGGACACGTTTCAATCCGAACGATTCCCCTGACAATCGTTTCGAGGTAGTATCCGTCTTAAGGCAGGTCCGTTTGAGTAAGTGAGTGAGTTTAATTTTACGCCGCTTTTAGCAATATTCCAGCAATATCACGGCGTGAGACACCAGAAATGGGCTTCATATATTGTACCCATGTGGAAAATCGAACCCGGTTCTTCAGCCCTCGGCACACACATATACACATGCATTCATGAAGAGAGAGAGAGAGAGAGAGAGAGAGAGAGAGAGAGAGAGAGAGAGAGAGAGAGAGAGAGAGAGAGAGAGAGAGAGAGAGAGAGAGAGAGAGAGAGAGAGAGAGAGAGAGAGAGAGAGAGAGAGAGAGACAGAGACAGAGAGGCTCTCTGAGCGACACAGAGAGAAAGACAGAGAGAGAAAGACAGAGAGAGACAGAGAGACAGAGACAGAGAGAGAGACAGACAGGCAGGCAGGCAGGCAGGCAGGCAGGCAGGCAGGCAGGCAGACAGATGCTGGCTTACAGAAATTATTTTCAATGTATTCATGAAAGGAAGAATGATGCCTTCTAATATCGCCATAGTATTCATATACTTCGTGTTTATTGTTTACATTCTATGGCACATATTTGTTGATACAAGAGACTAAACTCAATATGTCTGCACTAGAAATTCTACCATTCATCACCTGGTCTTTACAATAATGTGAAGCCACACTGTGTCCCCCACAACACACGTGGAATACCTCTGACAAAATGTTGGACAAACCCCGTCACGCTAACAATCGATCCGTGAACGTCCTATTCTGAATATGGCGTTTTAGCATGTACGTTGGTGTGGCTGACAGGTACACGTGTTAAGTGCCCTGGGTTCACCTGTACTAGCTCACAAACAACTTTGTCATCAACATATTACTACTTAGTACACTAAAGTTACGACTAGAGCACTCCCGTCCGGACAAATAATTTTGGAGTCCTTTGGAGTCCCCACATAACTTGAACCCAGGTCTGTCTTCCCTGGGGCTTTGGGATCACTTGCCGAGAACAGGCTAGCAGGTATGCATTATGCCAAGTTATTTTGTCCAATGTTTTGATTTTTAAATAAAATTACATTTTAAAAACTAGAACAGCGCAGATGTATTATTGAGTGAATACAATTACGTTTAGGATACAATATCGTAAACTAAATATATTTTCAGTTGAAAATCTATCATTTGATAAAAAAAATCAATCAGAGGTTTAGTTTCTTTTCCACTTCAGTGTAAGTGTGAATTGATTTGCAGATAGCAGTAGCTCCCTAACGTCTTTATTGCCGCTGTACCTCGTCCCGTGGATGATGGCGTCGTTACTGTCAAAGATCATAAGAAGATTAAAAGACTGCCGCTACTTAACTTCCCCAGTGTTGACTCCTGATCAATCAAACAGGCTGAAGATCGATAACCAAGGCCAATTATCGACCTGGTCTCCCACGGACGGTACCTGCGTGGAGGTCCAACCATCAACGTAGGACCGGTTACTAATACTGATAGGAAAGATCTGCAGGTTGGGAAGGTGTGAAATGAGCGAGTGTGAGGGCTGAGTGTCAGCGAGTGTGAGTGTGAAAGTTGAGGTTTGGCTGGCTGGCTGGCTGGCTGGCTGGCTGGCTGGTTGGTTAGTTGGTTGGTTGAGTGAGTGGTTAAGTGAGTACTTGAGTAAGTGAGTGAGTGAGTGTGTGAATGAGCGAGTGAGTGGGAATATACAAGAATGTTGTCAGCCTGATATCCAGACGTATTGTTGCAGTGAGAAAATCCTACCAAATGTCCTGGTTATTATAACCTCAGAGCAAGCAATGTAAAATCCCTGTCAGGCAAAAGAAAGTATGCATTTTAATTGTTACAACCCCAAAATGACGAAACTTTATAAAATACAAAGCTGAAACTATGTACACCTGTCCAAGACACAGTTGCGATATATGAAATGGATGACCATTCCTTATTTGCTTTATTTTCAGACACCATCGAGCATTACTTTCTTTACCCGGCAGTCAATATCAGGTCACGTGTATTTCCGTAGAGATTTATTGCTTTCCGTATCATTAGATACCCCCCTGAATCACCAGAACCTTCATATGAGGCTTTAAGCAATATTTACTCACTCACTCCCCTATCCTTTATAACACAGAAGTGGAGTCATGTTGAGAGAAGCCAAGGCCATTCAGTAATAAAGCAAAGATGTCGAGCGACGATAGGAGTTGCACTACAATACACTTTGCTCCATCAGGCAACCCGATTCAATAATATACAATGAAGGGGACGCTAATCATGACTTAATATTTCTCTAGGGAGAGATAATCACAATGCCGTCATTCCCTCGACCAAGTCACTGCATGTAGTGCCTGACTGAATATAGAGTACCACACACTACTACGCCTTATTAACTGTATGCGTGGGTTGTTCTGTTGATGTTGGCGCTCATGATGTAGTGATTTACTTCTGATTATCATATTAAATTAAGATAAATTTAAGTAAATAATTCATGAGTGACATAAACTTGCATACATTGGCAACTGCTGAAAAGAACAACTGCCCACACCAATGATAATAAAACATGAAGTACCATACATGCAAATGTAAAGTTCTTGAGGGGCATTTAGAAATTGGCATTCAAGTACATAACAAAATACTATGGATGTCAAATTCTCCTTTATTGTATAAACAACGTTTCTGTGCTTTTCCTTGCCCCTTCGTCAGGTGAATGACAAGGGACAAGGAAAAGACCAGACATCCATCATACAGTTGTGGATATATATTTAGATATGGAGTCTGTACGTGCCACTTAAACAAGTTATTGCCATTTGAAATACATCATACTGACATTACATGATGATTGAACCAACAACATCAAGCACCTGCTCTATGCTTGGATAAGACTTTCAACTATTGACATTGAAGTTCATTCACCTAATGTTCGGAGGGGTGCTCTGTCATTGTCTTATACAACCATGGTTGACAGAGGGTAAGTGGACGGAATGCTGATTAGTTCAGTCCCCGAGACCCTAGGTGG